GGGAGAGGGTGGCTTGACTGAACCTCATTTGATTTCCAGACCTCTGAGCGCTTGATAGTCAGTCATCGTCCTACTGATAGATGGTGTTCTTTGATATGTCCCGAAAACAGACTTCAGTGATGTTGCCAAAACAATAAGTTTTTCGAAAACAAATTCTTTTTTTTTTCTTGACTGCATGCCGCTGTGCATTAGTTTGACACCAGTCACAGATTTTAATTTTCATTCATGGGAACTGTATTAAAAGGGTTATTATCTACCAGAAATATTCTAGAAGTAGCTCATTTTTTCAGAGAAAGGCCCCTGGCAATGTGATCTGTAGCACCATGAGAGCATTTCAAAGGAACTGAATTGTAAATACATTTTTGATTGAACCAACTGTAGTCCTTCTGACACCACATGTCAGAAAATGTCAAAGTCAGTAGATTCATCTATGTTAAAAAGACAAACAGTCGCATCTTGCAGAACTGTCACATTTCCCCAACGGTTAGAGTAAAGGAAATACATGGAATTCTAGGAGCTGCTATGTTTGATGAAATCAAGCTTTGCACTTACTACATATTTGTGTCAAACTATGCTATGACTTTTTTTTCTCATCTGTGGCCTGACTCATGTAAGTAGAATGTTGCTTTAAATACTTTGAACTTTATCTTTCATGCCTGTTGATATAGTTACAGTGTATACGTTGCTATATGTCACAATGTGTACAAGCTGCTTGTTCGGGCCCATAAAGCTTTCACTTTAATATTTAATATTTGAAATTGTTGTTTTTCCCCTTTGAACCTACTGCCCTGTGAGTGAACTATAAACACTTTCCCTCTGGGTGTCCTAAAAAGATGAAGGTTAGTGTAGCGCCGTCCAGATATATAACCGCAGATGGTTTCCTAGGACTCGCAAGTTTTTATCTCCAGCATCAGAAGTAATTATGGATGTGAACTGCAAGTAAAACTATATAAGGAATTGGTCTTAAGTGGACACAGAGGCATGCTTCCCTCCCTATTGGGCTGTAGTACACATGGAGCACAGATGTTCCAAAAAGCCACAACGCAGAATCTGCATTATCGAAAGATTTAACTGCAAACAGGTGCTTTACTCTGTTGCTGTTGGCTGGCTCCCCACACTGGCTGTGCCGTCCCTTGGAAAGTATTACAGAGAACCATCAGCTGAAGCAGCCAGACTTGGCTTCAGCCGTTTGCCTTCATCAGACATTATAACTCATTAAGCTGTGTGTTTATATGAGGCAATTATCTGCATTCCTCTCTTTAGAAAAAAAGCTCCAAAGTGGTGATTTCATAATGTAGGAACCCTTTTGCCTAGAGGCATTCTGTAGCTAATATCCACAAAAGGAAATCATTCCAGGGCTACATAAGTATGACAGTTGGAACATACACACTGTAAAAAATTACAATGCCAGGTATGCCCAGTACCAAAAAACAAACACTGTGTTGCTCTTCTCTCTTAATGAACAGTGGATTTTTTAAAAAGCTTCATTTAAGTGTGTGTGTGTAGGAAGGGCCTACTTCTATTCTTTTATGCAATAGGTTTTGCTGTATGTGCATTGTTAAATTCTTACAGTTCTGTTCAGTAAAGGCACTTTTGCTCTAGAGCAAGAAAAAACAAAAGCTGAGAAAAGTGTGGTGCATTAGAATATCAGGAGATAACATCTGTGTTTGATGATTCTCTTAGGCGTATGCATCATGCATGTCTCCCCTCTCTCTTGCCCATTTCCTTCACACTATATTGAACGATTCAGTTCTTATCCTGGAAGAAAACGGCTTGAACACTAGATTTTGCTCAATGAGCCAATCCGCAGTGAGTCTCCCTGATTGTGTCTCTGTTTCAGACATCGACGAGTGTGAAACAAGCAC